TTTCAAGACCGATGATACAACTCATTTAACACTTGATTTATTTTCCTAATCGATAGTTTGAATAAAGATAATGAATTAATTTAATTAATAAGAGATAATACTCATCAATCATGACTCGTGTTAAAGTCATTTATAGTCATTTATGTTTTTTCTGAAATCTTAAAATATAATTTTAAACCCTCAGAAAACAAAAAAACATGGTAATTTACTGACTATTTTATACTACTGACTTATTACATAGATAGGGAAGCATATTTTACATAATTGATGAAGTTTATGTATTTAGAATAGATCCTTTCTAATCCGAAATGATGCAATTTGGAAGTTATTTTCTAAACCTGAAATTTGAGATACAGATGGCCTACCAGATATACTGATGAAGAAAATTACGATTTCCAATACTAATATCAGCATAAATAAATTTTTGGAAACTATTTTTTTTTGCTTTAATTATAATAAATAATTCAAAGGGCTCTATAAACTAAGTGACCTTAATATATAAGACCTTAAGTGAGAAAGATATGTGTTCTCTGATAATCCTCCTCTGGACCTATCTATAAAAAATTTGCACACAAACTTATTCTAATGTCCATAATGAAGTGAATTAAATATTCTATTAACAAGTAAGCATTATCATTGTTTAAATACTATATTACAATATTTTGAGAAATTATCCTATGATTTTAATAATATAATCTGATATAATGTAATGTATATTGTACAGGTTACAAAATATAATACAGCAGCGACATTTATATAGTTATATAATGTAATTTTATTATATATAAGATATATACATATATAGGCTATTTTATAGGAAATAATCGCTTGAACTAACATTTATACTGAATAAATGAAGGATATTTATGAAGTCCATGTTCAAATTTAAACGGTAAAATCTTTAGAAGTACGTATAATAACTGTGCAAAATGAAAAATATTTTAAAGTATGGTTCTTGAAGATATTTTTATTTTTATATAATTTCAAATTAAATATCTGACACTTATTTTGGTTCTTTTTTTTTTTGAATAGGCAACTGTAAACGGTAAACGTTACCTTGTAACGCTACAAGGACAAAGAAATATTCTGTAATGCTACAGAATATTCCTTTGTCCTTGAACTGTAACGTTAAAATCGTTTAGAAAACATTATCTTTCAACAAGATAATCCATCTATTCCACTCTGCATCAAATTCCAACGACATTTGAGGAATTTTTCCAACGATTGAGAAAACGGCGAATGATGCTGAAGATGAAAAGATAAAATTTGGAGTATAAAACTTTTAATTAGTTTATTCTATATTACTTATAATAATATAATTAAAATAAGTACATACCAATCTTACCAGTTTCAGTTACATTTTCAGTAGTTTGTCCTAAAGTAAATGTAATTAGCAGGAATAAGATTATTGCAATCATTGTTAGGTAGAGTAGGGAGATGCGTGGATGATTCCTGGCAGTCTGTATGCAGAAAGGAAAGATTAGCCTTGAGTGGCAACAATTCTACAGAACGACCGCGCAAGAATGGTGAGAATAATCAGCTGACGTACTCTATATCAAGGACGATTTTGATAACCGTATTCATGTGATAATCTGATAATTACTTATTGGCTGTTTAACAGAATTTTTATTTTTTATTTTTTATTTTTTTGAGGAATAAGATAGTTTCAAATAGTTTAATTCTTTCGGGAGAAATTACATTTATTTTTAAAAATAAATCTAAGAAATTTAGGAACGTTTTCTTAT